TTGTTAGGTTAGATCACAGTAAAGAAACCCCAACAAAAAATACCAAATATCATGAGTTGTCACTAATGTACTTTTTCAATAATGACTCAAATTGGTTTATTGAATCAGATTATTTTACAAATTGTGATAGTTTATTGAATTCATTTGAGTCTTTATGAAATATACTATTCATTCCAAATTTACTGTTAGTTTTATCAAAATAAAAATTGTTATTTCTTCAAGTACTATAATCATGAACATCCTTATTTCTCAATAAGAATTTTTTGAAGTTATTGGTTATACCAATCCTTCATGCAGCTCAAATATAAAGATCATAGTCATAAATAATATACGTTCTTCAACTGAAAACCAGTTTAGACATTGTACCATCAATTCAATTGCAATTTAATTGGGCTACATCCCAATATTAGTTGCATACCCCGATTTTGAAGCTTTTGCAATTGCGGTATTTTATTTTTACTTTGTAGAAAAAGTAATGTACAATAATCAAAATGAGGTTGTATTAGACTTTTAAATAGAGTTAACCTAGCATATATAGACACTTTTTCACATATCTAGAGAAAAAGAAAAGTTTCTTAGATATTTTTTTGAAAATAAAATCAGCATGGATATATAGTTCCAAACTTTTATCAATTATAACACCCAAATATTTAATTTCAGTCACAATTCAATGTTAACATTATCAATTTTTATAACAGCATTTGTCCAAGCAATTTGATCATATACTTATAAGATGATCATACTTTTTGTTTTACTGTTTTTCAGTTGGAGTTTATTATTAAATAAATATGTTTCAATGCTATTTAAAGACCTATTCAATTAAACAAATGCCTGATGCACATTTTTCTGTATACAATAAACCAATGTATCATCTGCAGAAAGATTTATACAGTGTGACCCAGAAATGCGGTTGATATCATTTGAATAAATAATAAAAAGCAATGGACTTAACACACTACCCTGGGGTACGCCATTCTCAATAAGTTCATACCAAATCAAGTTTTTTGTCTTCTATTAAATAAGTAACTTTGAATCCAATCAGAAACAATCCTTGATATTCCATAATACTTTAATGTTTGAAACAGAATAATTCCATCAATTGTTTCGAATGTTCTTTTAAAGCCGAAAAATGTCGCAACAATGTACTGATTTCTTTCAACTACAACCTAATAAACGTTGACATTTCCAAAAACCAGGAAGGAAACACATTTTTAGCAAATTTCGGAGCTACATAACCTCATATCAAAAAGATACAGTTGGGACGATGAAACAATGTGCTTACGTCATCAACTTCAACATCCGATATAAGTTCACAAACTGGCACAAACTAATGGAAACGAAATGATGAAACTACTGCTTCGGAAAGCCTAACCTTTCACCAAAGAATTGCTTTTATTTTGGAAATTCTCTAGAAGTGAAATACCCCATGTTACGATTTTGAGTTAATTTCATAAAACGTGAATTACTACTTTCCCACAGGCACGGCTCTTAGAGCGCATTAAGGATTGTCCTTCATTGATTATTCTGTAAAACGAGTTTTATACGGTCGCTTAAACTTTTTCAATGCGGAACATTAGACAAAGACATTTCCAATTTGAGGTTAAAATTTTTATAATAACATAAAATTCACTCACCTATTGTGAATTATGAAGTGCCTACAGGTT